AAATCAATAAAACAAGCAGCTGTTTTTTAGAAAGATTAACGACACAGATAAAGCCTCACAGGATCAAGAAAGAGAAAAGGGAACAGCCTGGAATACTAAAGTGAGAGGTAAGTTAAAGGAGAGGAGTAAGAGGAGATCTCACAGCTGACGTCACAGAAATCCAAAGCATTGTAAGAAACTGCTCCGGACAGTTCCACAGGAACCATGACTTCCTGATACATGCAGCTCGCCAAGTGCGGTGGAATGAGGTGAGAAGGTCATGCCAAGATGGCTGCTGACAACTGAAACTGCCTGGCAACAGGCTGTGATTGGATGGCTTTAAGGGAAACTGCCTGGCAACAGGCTGTGATTGGTTAGGGCACAGACCGCCCCTTGACCAGACTGGCTGCCTTGGCTATATAAGCTGCTGTAGCAACCGAAATAAACGAGTCTTCGGGCTGCTGGCCTCAGGCCTGCTCCCCCCCCCCCCCCCGACTCCCAGGGTCTGTGTGGTGACTCTGTGCCTCTTGCCCCCACCACGCTCCTCCTCTCAGAAATGAATCCACCTGCAACAGCCAAGGTTAAGTCCAGAGGACATGGGAGATCTGAATAGCGGGATAACAAGTAGCGAGGCGAACGCAGCCACTGAGTCCCCAGCAGAGACGAGTCCAGACCCGGGTGGCTTTACAACCACATTTTACAAAACTGAAAGGGGAACTAACTCTAATGCTTCTCAAACTACTCCAAGAAATCAAAAAGGATGGAGTTCTGCAAGGTTTCCCTGAGAACACAGCACAAATAAACAAGGAAAAGGAAAACTAGGGATCGATATTCTCCAGGAGTACTGATGCAAAGATCCTCAACAAATGACTGGAAACCAAACGCAGCACTACCTCAACAAGATCACACAGCACGGCCGTGCGGCATCTGCCTCAGGAGGAAAGTGTGTTCAACATCCACGAATCAGTAAATGTCGTACGCTTCACCAGCACAATGAAAATTAAAAAACCACAGAAGTGCTCAGAAAGCATTTGATAAGATTCAAGATCACTTCATGATAAAACAAATTTCTAAAAATTATGTTCATTTACTTAAGAGGTAGAGTTACAGAGGGAGAGGGACAGAGAGAAAGATCTGCTATTTACTGGTTCACCCCTCCAAGGGTCACAACGGCCAGAGCTGAGCCGATCCAAAGCCAGGACTCAGGAACTTCTTCCAGGTCTCCCACGTGGGTGCAGCGGCCCAAGCATGTGGGTAATCCTCCATGGCCCTCCCACGCCATCAGCAGGGAGCTGGATCAGGAGAGGAGCAGCCAAGACTTGAACCGGCATCCATAAGGGGTGCAGTGCCACAGGCAGACACTAAGGCCACGATGCCATGGTGTTGGCCCCAAAACAAAAATCTTAATGCATTATATATACAAGAAACATCTCAAAATTACAAACGCAGAATATGGCAAATAAACTGCCAATTTCTTAGTGAATGGGGGAAAGCAGAAAGCATTGGCCTCAGATTTGGAACAAGACAGGATGCCCACTTTCACCAGGGTGGTTCAGCCTAGTACTGGAAGTGTCGGCAAGAGCTGTTAGGGAAGGGAGAGAAAGCGAAGCACAGAGGAGGGACGGGGGAAGTCACAACAGTGTCCCCAGGTGCTGTGGCTTTGCACATGGAATGCCCTAACCCCGCCACCAAAAACTGTTACAACTGGTAAGTCAACTAGAACAGTCACGGAATACACAGCCAATATACCAAAGACAGGAGTTCTGTACACCACCCCTGGCCTTGCTCCCAGGGGACTCAAGGACGCAATTCCATTTACAGTAACCACAGAAACATCAGAATGAGTTTAGACACCCACAATGAAAATATGACGGGATAAACTTCAGAGGACACAAAAAATGGAACAATATTCCACGAACATTGGTTGGAAGAACGAACTGATTTTGCTAAAACATCCGTATTACCTATAGCAATCTGTGGATTCAATAAGACCCCATCAAAATACCAATGCCACTCTTCACAGAACTAGGAAATCCTACAAGCACAGAGAATCATGAAACATCCAGAACAGAGCAAGTGGTCCTGAGCCAATAAAACGGAAGAAAGCTGGAGGCATCCCATGCCTATTTTCAAGACACAGTGGTTAAAACAGTGTGGGACTGACGGAGAACCTGACCCACCCATCAGTGGACAGAATGGAGCATTCAGGAGCTAACCCACTCACAGCCTACTGAGTGTCCATGAGGGTGCCGAGCAGAGAGGAGAGGCTTTCTAACACACCATGCCAGCAAACGTGGATACCCGTGTGGAATGGAGATCACAGCCCTACCTCCCACAGTGTCCACAAACATCAACTCAGGATGTAAGACCTGAAACCATGGGATTCCCAGAAAACAGACAGGGGAATCACTCCACGACACCGGTGGGGGCAATGGCTCTTTTGCATAAGACCTCAAAGCAAAGGCAACAGAAGCAAAAGTAGACAAACGGGATTATAAGGACCTGAGGTCTGCACAGCACAGTGTACACATCCCGATGAAGAAAGTGGCCGCTGAGCGGCAAGGCAGCCGACAGAATGGGAGGAGACGTCTACAAGCTACTTCCAAGAAAAAAGTGACGTCAAGAGAACGGTGCTGGCTTCAGCTTTCGCGAATGGCCGCCTATCCTTATTATCTAGGACTTTGCAACATCCCTCACGGCGCTGTGGGTCTCACGAGGCTCTCCGCTTTATTCTCTCGCTACAGAGTGCTAGTTTTTTTTTTTTTTTTTTTTTTTTTTTAAGATTTTCTTTCTTTGAAAGGCAGATTTACAGAGAGGCAGAGGCAGAGGCCAAGGCAGGAGAGAGAGCGAGAACAAGAGACAGAATGAGAATCTTCCAACTACTGGTTCACTCCTCAGAAGGCCTCAACTCCTAGAGCTGCGCCGATCCGAAGCCAGGAGTCAGGAGCCAGGAGCTTCTCCCAGGTCTCCCATTGGGTGCAGGGGCCCAAGGACTTGGGCCATCTTCCTCTGCTTTCCCAGGACACAGCAGAGTTGGATCGGAAGTGGAGCAGCTGGGACTCGAACCGGTGGCCTCATGGGATGCTGGCAGTGCAGGCAGCAGCTTCACCTGCTACGCCACAGCCTGGCCCATCATCTGGTTCTAAGGTTGAGCCATTCTTGCATTCCTGGAGTGAACTGTACTTGGTCATTGTTCATTGACCACAATGTGGTTCACTGTCATCACTTGGACTTGATAATGACTGTTAAGCTCATATGTCCCCGCCCTGGGAGCCGTTCTCTGAGGAGGGCTCCAGCCCCCTGCTGTCACTTCCTTCGCTCTGCACTCAGATTTCCACAACTCATGGCCAACTGCTTTCCCAAGGACATCTGCAAATCTCTGTGGGCCACGGGGCCCTGTGGCTCAGCTCACTCCCAGGGAGGGGGCTTCAGCCACCGGCTGTTCTCGCTCCCGTACAAGGACTGCGCCCAAGGAACTCCACCCACAGCTCCTGCAGGTCTCAGCCGTGACCAACACACTGCTGGGGTCCCCCGTGTCCCGTCCCCACCACCTCTCCTCTTCCTGTCTTTGGGGACCACAGCCCCCCTCACCCCGCAGCCTCACCGGGCCGCTTGCTCTCTGAACAGACTCCTGTTTTCTGCTCCACAGAGAAAACAGCAGGAAACAGATTCCCTCCACTTCCTGGCCCTTCCCGCCCCTGAGGTCCTGTGGACCCCTGCCTCCGGCTCTCCAGGCTGCTGGGAGGAGGCGTCGCCCAGGTTCTGCCCCACTCGGCCGGTGGTGCCAGCTCCTTCCGGTTCTGGCCCTTGCTCTTGACCTGCCTTCCCGTTTGCTCCGCGAGGCCTCCAGGGCTCATTTTCATGACAGAGCTGTCGTGCCGAGCCTGGAGTTGTTCTAAACGCCACCCCAGCTCCTTCCTTCCACAGGGACTTCCAGGAAGTGTCCCCCAGGGGACAGCACATGCTTCATTCCTACGAACTTCATGGCCCACAGGAACCTGGGCCCTCCCGCAGACGTCAGAGTGCCCCTCACATGACCCAGGACCCCGCCGTCCCCACGCTCGGCTTCCCGTCGCTGCCCCACAGATGACAGCCACTGCGGAAGGGGCTGCCACGTGAGCTGGCCATGCAGTCTCTGCTCGTTGTGGCAGAGCGTCCACTCTCACTGGCCCGGGGATGTGGACTGGCAGCGGCTGGGCTGAAAGGTCCTGGGCGTGGCTGTCGCGGGGCAGGCTGTGTACAGGGGGCCTGGGCTGGGCCAGGAATGTGCTCGCTGGAGCACCGTGGACACTGATCCTGGCCAGTACTGCCCGCGTGCACGACTGGAACTGCCACAGAAATGCTTTCTGGAAGGTTCCTGAAGCTTCCTTGCTCAGCAGGCAGACCAGGTGGAGGCTGGGCAGGGCGGGGGCACAGGAGAGGAAGGTCCGCGGTTTTGTGCAGACACAGGCCCCGGTTTGTGCAGAACTTTGCGTCTGGCTTCCCGGCTGACTTTGGAGAGCGGAGTCCTCTGGGAGACGGAAGACACTGACCTTGCTGCTGTCTCCCGGGCCCAACTTCCAGACGCTGGAGGAGCCCAAGCAGGGGAATCGTGAACCCGCGCCTGTGCGGTGGCCAAGTCCAGACTCACTCCGGGGAACGCCTTCTCTGCTCCGGGGGCTCTGGCAGGAAGTGCTGAGAGAGGCGGGGGTGGTGCCCCCCCCACGGGGAGGGGTGCCCAGCACGCTGTCCCAGGAGCTCCACCTGAAGAGATCTTTCCTCTAGGCTGCCATAGCCTCGAGCCTGTCTCTCCCCCAGAACAGCGGAAAGGGCAGCAGCCCTGGGCACCTCCTCCTCACAGGCCCCTCCCCACCAATACTCAGAGGCAAAGTGTTGGGGGGGGAGGAGCGGGCGTGGAGCTCGGCTCCCAGGACAAGGCCTTGTCGACAGAGTGACCGCCAGCAGACGTGGACTCGCTCCCGGGCCTGTGCCCAATGCTCCCACCCACCCGTCCTGGGGGCCCTCGAAGTCAGACCAAGAGGTGACCAACACAAAGCAAGTTTAATGCAACACGTTGCGACCGTGCGCAGTGAGCTGGCGCTCCAGAGCTGGCCGCCCTGGGCACGTCCCACACTCACAGCAGCCTGAGGCCATCGGAGGCCAAGGCCAGCGCCGGGAGGAAGGAAAGCACGGCACGGCCGCGTGGCCTCCCGCCTGCTCTCCCCGGGTATTCCCGGAACGCCGTCTCGTTGACATTGGGCACGTTGTCGTTGCACAAGGGATGTTTACAGCACTTTATGTACACGAAGGGCAGGGGCTTTAAAATCACAAACGACCTGCCTGGAGAATCCGCGGGTATGATAATCAGCGGGCAGTACGGGGTGCACTGCTTGGAAACATAGTAGAAACGTGGGAATATTTCTAACAGAGAGACAGAGAGAGAAACCGAGTGACTCCAGGGCTCTGCCCTCCCCCCACCCCGTCCCCTCCCGTCCAGGTCCCTCACTGCTCTGCCCTCCAGGCCCTCCCCAGGCAGCAGGCAGGGCTCCGTGTGCAGAGGGAGCCGGGTGCAGAGGGGCTGGCAGGGCCGGCAGCACAGGCGCCTGCATCTGAGGTCTCTGCTGGGAAACCAAAGGCTGCCTGCACCCAGGCCCCGAGAACCCTGGGCCCACTACGGCCTCTGTGACCCCCAGACACACGGGGCCGAGGGACTCCTGGCCACAGTCTGGGCCCTGCCCAGGGCGTGGGGCTGGGTCTCAGGAGGCTGCACTGCGCTGCGCTCGGACAGTGCTGGGCTGAGCACCCCAGCTCCTCCTCTGATAGAGGGCGTCACACACGTGGACCCCGGAGGCCTGGCCGTCACCTTGGGGCTTTGCCGAGCTTCCAGAACACAGAAGGCTGCCGGGACGGGCGCACTGACAGCCTGGGAACCCCGCTGTGGGGGAGAAGGTGGGGGACCTCCCCCAGCGGGACGCGCCGCAGGGAGGTCAGGGGCCGAGCGCTGGTGTTCACGCTGCTCAACGCACTTGCTCCCCGGCTCCCTTCTGCGGCCCACACCCCGGGTGCCCGCGGCTGCTCCCAGGGCTGGCTGGCCCCGGTTCCTGCTGGACATGTGATTATCGATGGAACCAAGACAGAAGCCTCGGCCGTTCCAGCTCCGTGCCCGACAGCACATGGAATCAGAATTTACCCCTAACCCCTGCATCTTTTGAAACCTGGGAATTTAGCCCCTACCCCTGCACCCTTTCAAGTCCCCACCTGAGTCTCAGGCCAGAGTTGGTCCCACCCGACCCCCTCCATTCTTTTCCAGGTTCCAAAGCTGGGAGCTGCAAACCCACTCTGGCCTCTCGGCCCACCCTAAGTATGTGAGACCCAGCCCCAGGACTGGGCCTCTGCCAGCGCTGGGTGTGTGCGCATGTGGGCAGCCGGTCACCCACCTCTGTCAATTCGCTGCTTCTCGCTGGGTCGCTGAGTCGCCTCCTGTGTCCTCTCTGTTCCCTACACGTTCTCTCCTAACTCCAGGAACACAGGGTCTCTTGCCCCCCGCAGCCCAGCCTCCCTGGGACCCTGCGCCCTGCTCTGACCCTGGGCTCCAAGATGCTGGCCTGCACTCGGGCCTCCCAGAACCCTGCTCTTCCAACGCAAGCAGCCACTGGCCGGGCGCCTCTGCCCAGCCGCAGAGAGTCGTGCCCACGCCCTGCGCACGCGCACTTACTGATGGCAGCCAGCGCGCAGTACGTGTCCCGCTGGGCGCAGTCCTGCGCATTCTGGCACGAAAAGTCGTTCTCCTTCTCGCAAACGTGACAGCGCAAGAGGCCAGGGTCTGCGGACAGACACACACTCAGGCACAGGATGCAACGGGTCCCCGCCCGTCCCAGAGCCCCCGCTGCCCTCCCGGTCGGTACAAGACCAGGGCGCTGTCCCCCGCAGCCACACAGACGCCTGCACCCAGCCACCTCCCACCTCACGCGGCGCCACAGAGTCACCACTGTCAGGCCGCTGACCCCGGGGGCTGTGGGCGCCAGCTCCCGCGTGTCCTACCTCCCGGCTCCCTGGCCATGGCCATGTCCACGCCCAGAGCCGGCGCCAACAGCAGCCCTCTGCCTGGCCGGCTCTGGACAGGGCGCTGGGCAGCCCGCCACTCCCCTCTGGTCACAGGGCCCCCAGAGGCCGCCTGGCCAAGACACAGCGCCCTCCCAGGAAGGCCAAGCTGTGGGGAGCCCGGCCGGGGTCGGGTCCAGGCCGCTCGGGGCCCCGACTGGGCACCTGCACTGTGCCCGCCCCGTCCCCGGGCTCTGGACTCACCCTGCCTCTCCGTCCTGTTGTCTGCGGGCCGCGCCTGGGGCAGCCCCAGGGCCAGCAGCAAAGCCAGCAGGAACATCGTGTCTGCGGTGCCAGGGCCTGCCGAGGGGCGGAGGGGTCGGCGCGGGCCTGGACCCTGCCCCTGCCCGTCGCCCCCTAGGCCCATAGCAGCCCGGCCCCGCTGTCCCGGGAAGCCCGCGCAGGCAGGGGTCCTCCACAGGGCCCCCTCCCGGCTCGGCCCACGCCCCGCACGCCCCAAGCACCTCCTCTGCGGTAGCCTGGGCGCTGCTCTCCCCACCCTAATGGAGCCTATGGCGTCTTTCTAGAAGGTTCCACGCGCCTGCGCCCAGGCGTCCAGCTCCCACTCCCCCCCCCCCCCGCGCTCCACAGGCGGGGGACAGTGGGAGGGGGAACGGATGGGGCCTGTGCACAGGCTGTGGAGCTGGGCGCTCACCCCCGCCGTGGACTTCTCCGGCCCTGTGTGGGGCGCCAGGTCCGAGGGCCCAAGCGGGCAGAGGAGCCCCCACCTTGAGCCTCCGGACCCCGCCCCGAGACCGCCATCTGGGGGCTTGTCTGTTGGGTGGTGTGTGCCCGCCGAAGGTCAAAGGTTAAATAAATGGTGCGCCCTGGAGCCCCGCAGTCTGCGGGCAGTTTGGCCTGGGCCCCGCGTGCGGGCCCTTGCGTGGGGACTCTGGACATTGCTGGCCTCGCCGACCCTGTGGAACGCTGCCTGCGAGCGCTGTGCGAGCCCCGGGGTCTCCCCGCAGGCCCTGTCGCCTAGGAAGCCGCTGGGCTCCCAGTCTGCCTGCACCGAGGGCACCCCCTGGGAGGAGTGTGTCCTGACTCCCGCCCAGCGAAACGGCGGGAAGACCTGGACCCCAATCCCTTCAGCAGCGGGCTGCACTCGGCCGCCCGCCGCTGCTGAGCCAAAACGTCCAACAGAACAAGGAACCCACGGAAGGGCCACGCAGAGATTCAAGTGCGCCGCGGCAAGTGGCCTTGTCTTGGGGCCCCTTCTAGCCGGGCGTGGCCGGCTGCATCCGGTTCCTTCCGGAACCGCCAGTGGCAGGGCCACCGTGGCGTGTCACCTCTGCCAGGCCCTGGACAGATCGCAGGCACCAAGCCCCGCGGGAAGCAAAGCCGCGGAGCGTGGTCACTCCCACACCTGCGGGTCTGGGCACTGGCTGCAGTGGCCTGACCACACCGGGGACTCCTGCGGACACGGGAGGGGGGCGGGGGCGCGCGGCCAGGCTCCGGGTGGGGCGGCGGGAGTCCCCGGGAACTTCCGGGCCAAGCCCGAGTCCCCAGGCCAGGGCGGCTCAGGGCGCGGGGCCCAGAGCGAAGGCCGGAGCCCAGGCAGGGCCACCGCCCAGCGACCGCCCACAGGGCACGCAGCCGCCCGGCCTTCTCCGCGGCTGTGCGGCGGGAAGGGGCTGGACTGCCGGGCAGAGAGCGAATCAGCTTCCGTCTGCCCGCGCAGGGGCGGGGCAACACCTGAGTGACGTGGGTCCCCACCAGCCTGCGCCCTAGCCGGCCAGGGGCAGTCCCGTGGGCGGGGCTCCTGGGACACCCCGGAGAAGAGGCCTGCCCCGCCTGCCCTGAGGCTTCTAGAACCTTCCGGGCCTCCTGAGGCGTGAGTGGCCGAGGTGAGCGCGCTTTTCAGGTTGGTATTTTTGGCTCAGTGTCCCTGAAGGAACCTGGCGAAAGGCGTGTGGGGTCGGGGTCGGGGTCGGGCGCAGCGTCCCCAAGTGAGAGGCGACGTGGCGGCCGTGGAAGGAGGTTCCAGAAAGGCGGGTGAGGCTGGCGTTTGAGGCCCAGTGGCTGCAGGCGCTGGGGCGGACACGCGGACAGCGGAGGTGGCTGCAGTGTCCCAGGGCCTGGTGGGTCTGTGCAGGGCCCGATTCGGGGGCGCCGGGGGCCAGTAGCTGTGGCTGACCTGGACCCCCGCCTCACATCCCGGAGCCAGCCTTCCGCGGGAGACCCTGCCCCCGGGGTCCCCGGAGCCCTCCCCCTCCCCCCCCCGAGCCCCCCCGGGGTCCCCAGAGCCCTTCATCCTCCTCCACCTCCTCCCCTGAGCCCCTTCACTCGGGGTCCCCAGAGCCCTCCCCCTCCTCCCCTGGGCCCCCCCAGGGTCCCCGGAGCCCTCCCCTTCCCCCCGTGAGCCCCCTTCCGCAGGGTCCCCAGAGCCCCCCCTCCCCCCGTGAGCCCCCACCCCGGGGTCCCCAGAGCCCTTCATCCTCCTCCCCTGAGCCCCTTCACCCGGGGTCCCCGGAGCCCTCCCCCTCCTCCCCTGAGCCCCTCCCAGGGTCCCCGGAGCTCTTCCCTTCCCCCCGTGAGCCCCCTTCCGCGGGGTTCCCAGAGCCCTCCCCCTCCCCCCGTGAGCCCCCTTCCCCGGGGTCCCCACAGCCCTCCCCCTCCTCCGCCTCCTCCCCTGGGCCCCTTCACCCGGGGTCCCTGGAGCCCTTCATCCTCCTCCACCTCCTCTCCTTGGCCCCTTCACCCGGGGTCCCCGGAGCCCTTCATCCTCCTCCGCCTCCTCCCCTGAGCCCCTCCCAGGGTCCCCGGAGGTCTTCCCTCCCCTCGTGAGCCCCCTTCCCCGGGGTCCCCGGAGCCCCCCACCCCTCGTCCTGCCCGCACCCTCTGTTCTCCCGTGGAATTACGGGGGCGGGGGTGCCGCTGGTGACAAAGTGACGTTTTCTCGGCGTCGGTCCCGAGTGACACCAGCGTCCGGAATGGGCCTTGAGGTCCAGGGCTCCCGGGCCCCGGGGCGCAGCCGCAGTGCGTGGGCCCGCGGCTCTGCTGTCTCCGAACGCGCCCAGCTCGCTGTCTGGGGCCCTGTGGCCAGCAGAGGCCGCCTGAGGGCGGGCGCGCGGCCTGCCCGTGGCCCTGACGTCCGTGTCGCCGCCCGCGACCCAGCAGCGGCCGCTCCGTCCTCGCGCCTGAACCTGCGCTCAGGCCGTGTGCTGGCCGCGCGTCCCGGCTGGTGGCTCCCTCCAGGTCCTTCTTCCCCACCCCTGCTCCTTCCCCACCACTGCTGCTCTGTCAGGCTGGGTCCGTCCTGGGTGTGTCCTCCCGGTCAGCCGGTCCCGCTGCTCCCACTGAGGGTTTCTCTGGCCCTCACTTGGTTGCTCCGTGCTCCCCTGTGAACCCAGCAGCCCGCGTGTGAGGATCCAGCGCTGTGGTCTGCGGCTTCCTCCCAGTTCCCTGTCTGTCTCTGTCCTGCGGTGGTGACCGGCAGGCTTCCCTCAGGAATTCCGCTGGCTGCCCTGGGCGGCAGCGCCTGCGGACCTGGGCCGTCACCATTGTCGTTCAGAACGCAGGTTAGCAGGAAGGGGGCTGTGGACCTGGAGCCCGGCATGGACTCCACGCACTTGATGTGGGACACGGGTGGAGTCAATGCACGCAAGTTACTCCCACTTGGTTTTTCTAGTCTAGGACGCCCACTACTGTTTTCGCAGCTTCTGTATCTCTGGTAATAGCTTTTCTTTTCTGAAAGCATTAGTATTGGGTCCTCTGTTTGCTGTTCTCACAATCATTGTCATTTACAGGACATGGCTGGAATAGAGGTTCTCGTCCTCACGCAAGAAAGATTTTGCGGTAGGAGACAGAGCAATGGTCTGGTGGCAGGGTTTACCGGGTGGCACAGCCATCAGAACAGAGCGGGAGGGGTCTGATGGAGCTGCCCTGCCAGCAGCCTGTGGTAAGCAAGACCCCATTACACCTGAGAGCCAGGCGGGCTTCCCCACCAAGGACCGAGAGCTGAACTGAGAGACGCCTGACAGACCAGGCAAGAGCTGCACACTCAACTCTGTACGCACAGGAGAGTGGGGCAGAGGGGACACAGGGTGCGGGCTCACAGCCATCGCCAGTGGATTCAAGGGAATACACCTGGAGAGGTGGCTGAGTGCTGGCTCGGACACAGGGCGAACGCCTGGCAGAGGGAGAACTGAGCTCGGGGCTGGGTTTATGGAGCATCTGCCAGCTTAGGGCTATGCTGGGAGGGTGCTGCTGAGCTGGCTTGTGGGAGGTGGTTTTTTCCTGAGGCCCACAGTCCAGGGAAGTTGAGCTGGGTGAGGAGAAAGGCCGGGGGTGCGGGCGGTCAGTTTAAGCTGTGTGGAAGAGGTCTTGGGAAGAAGACTCTCAGGGCTGGGGGCTGAGTCGCTTCCTCAGTCACACAGGCCACAGGTCAGAGCACATGGAAGGCCTTCCTCCCTCAGTCCTCACCCTGAATGTAGGTAGGGAAATGGGGCCTGGTCTCCCGTGGGCTGCTTCCTGCTGGTGAGGGTCATTGGTGTGGGGCAGGGCATCTGTGCACTGCTGCAGACTGGTTCAGGAGCAGTCTTGTGTGTTCCCCATGATGCCTCAGGATACAGCAGTCACGCGTGCTAAAATACATTCGCTACCCACGGTGGAACGAAAGCACTTGGAGATATTGGAGACATTGCCTGTGCTGCATGGGGGCCAGAACGAGGTGGTCTGGTTTTGGGAACAGAGTTCATTAGTGCATTTTTTATGTCTTTGATCCCTTTTCTTGCCACACCCGACTTCCTGGAGTAAAAACAGCACTGTTCACTCCAAAGAGGCAAAGCCTTCTCTCTCAGGGCGAGGAGCTCTAGAGCACAGCGGTTTGAGGGACCATGGCTGCCAGCGAGTCCACCTGACCTTGGAGTTGAGACAGTTGCTGCGCTAGGTGGTTTGTTCCTGCCAGAACACCCAGTGAGATTAGCGAGGGGGAGTCCAAATCCCTCTTGATGCAGTGGGTTAGAGGGACAGAAAGTGGAGATTGGTCTGAGGTCAGCCCAGCTAAAGGCCAAGAGTGGGGAGATGGGTTGAGAGGTGTTGTGAGGAAGACTTCCTTTAGGTCCAGGACAGAACACAGGAAGCTGTAGGGGCATCTGGGAGGGGAGAGCGTTGGGGTCGGCACGACTGGGTTGTGGGATGGGTGGTGGCATTAATACCTCAGAGGTCGTGCTCTAGGTGATGTAGCCGTCTGGGTTTGTGACAGGAGGTATAGGTATGTTGTGGGACAAGTGAATTGGGATGAGCTGTGAGCCTGAAGGAGGCAGTCTCTAACAGGTTTTGGGCCTCTGTGGCCTTCTGGACTTCAAGGTTAGCGGGGAACAGCAGTAGCTTTGAGAGTCTTTTATGGGGAATCATGCAGGGCAGGACTAGCATGAGCCACAAGTGGAGGTGCTGTGAGCTGAGCAGACACAAACAGCCTTGGGCAGTGTGCCATAAACTTCACAGGGTCTCTGTGCCGCTCACGCTCACACTGGGCTCCTAAGCACTCATGCAGGGCAGGGCTAGCTCAATCCACAGGCAGCCGCAGGTGCAGCTCCCTGCGAGTCGCCCTCCAGCAGACAAACTGGCAGGCCACATGGAGGCACCCGCAGTGCCCTGATCTAGCACTGAGCTGGGGGCCACTTTGTACCTCAGGTTTGGCCATCCTATCCCTGCCTCGCAGCCAGCACCAGGGCCGGAGAAAGTGACGCGCCCTTCCCCTGCGGAGTCCGCGCATGCATCCCTACCAGGGCAGGTGCTTTGGAGCCCCATGTTCCCGCGGCTGGGTGCGCAGGGAAAAACATCAACCCAGATGGAGGAGGGAAAGGGTGCCGGCAGAGAGATAGGGTCAGAAGCCACAAGAAGTCCACCTACGTTGTACAATCTCTTAAAAATTCCACATATTATAAGTCTCTTCATGGTCACCATATGATATCGGAATTTGGCCCCGTAAAACGTATACGAAATGTGGCCCCTTAAAGTTCCCCAGAAATCCCATCTGGGGTGCCACATATGTTATTGCAATTTGGAGTGACATACGATATCCCCATATGCTTATTCATAAACACCCAATATTAACAAGCCCAAGTGGGTTCTTGCCTAACATTTAGAGAAGAATTCTGAATACCGGCATAAATAAAGGAGGCAGCATGGTACATTTTAAGCTTTTATTCAGTGCGAAAGATGCATGGGTGAGTGAGGGCTTTACTTTAGGAGAGAGGTAAATCTGGGAGCACGTCAAGTACCAGGGACCAGCCATGTGGAGGAGCATCCAGACCAGGAGGCCCCCAGCTGGCAAGAGGCCAGGGCAAGGAAAAAGGGCAAAAAAGGCCGGACGCACCTTGTCGCAGGCTTTTAATCCACTTTCAGAGGGGAATGGCTAATTAACCTGATTGACTGGTGGGCACTCAGTTGTGGCTGGTAGGGGTATGAGATCACAGGGCGTGGTGAAGGCATGGCCTTCCAGCTCACAAACCTAATAAATTTTAATCTGTATGCCTCCTACTTCAGTTCCTGTGGGAAACAGCCACACATTATGTGTTAGCAGTATGATGCCATGGAAAGAGTTCACATCACAGTCACCTGTGCTTGCCTCTCACACATTTGCAATTTAATATTGGTTTTCATCTTTTAAAAAGGTAATTTTGCTGTCTCTTCCTCTTTCTCTTTAATAGTCTCAAGATGATTTTCTAATGCACTCGTTTGCTAACAAGCACCTTTGAGTAAAGTGTGGCTTGCTTGAATCACTGTTCTGTGGAGTGGCAGTGGCCTCATCCTGACCCTTCCATGTCCTGGGTCCATAGGCCTTCCCTAGACAGCAGCTGTAAAGCCTGCAGCTGGACTGCTGCTGCTCTTGAGGTCCACCCTCTCCTGTCTCAGGGACACAGGGAAGCTCCGACCCCAGCACCAACCAGGTGCTTGCTCTCTTCACCTCCAGGTTCAAGTTCCTGCAGGAAACCATGTTGTCCCTGGCCTTACTTCTCACCATGATGTTCCCCCTGGTGGAGAGCAACGTCACTACCTCCAGGGAACTGTGGGTGGAAACTAACATCACTACCTCCAGGGAACCATGGGTGGATAGCAGCGTCACTACCTCCAGGGAACCAGGGCTGGAGAGCAATGGCAGTAATGCCATTGAACGGTTTTGTAAGTGTCTTTCCATCTGTGGTGATGGGGATGAGAATTCCCTGGAATTGAACGGGATCTTTGGATAGGTGGCCTGGAATTTGAATTATCTAAGCCCACTGGGCTCTGCACTGTCCATGTAATGGGCTGTGGGGTGGGGTGGGAGTGCAAGGTCATTGTGGGACATTGTGCTTGGCTAGGAGAGGGTGGTCATGAGAGAGAGGTGCTTTCCCCAAGATGCAGCTGACCAGGACTTGAGGGGCAGTGTGGGAGTGGCACTTTCCCATGAGCGACAGGCAGCAGTGGCTTGTCTAGTGACAGCCAGAGGACTCTGCACTGTGGCAGTTTCCTGCCTTCCTGGAGGTGTTCTCACTGGAAGGGTAAGGCACTGTCACACATGGCTGCCTAGGGCACTCCTCCAGGGCTGGCTCTGGGAGCAGGGGAGCTCCTGGGCCTGCCTGTCTTTGCTCAGGGAAGCTGGTGTGGGACAGAGTCAGACTGCCCGTGCGGGTCTTGCAGGCTGGGGAGGCCCTGGAGGAAGAGTCAGAGCCTGTTGTGAGAGGAGGCAGAATGGGCTGGTAGTGGGTGGCAAAGGCACAAGGAGAAGTCTGATGTCTGCTTTCTCATTACACAGGGAGAAATGATATGAAATGCTTTAACTGTCTGGAAATAAACAACTTTAATTGTGTAGGACGAACAACCTGCCCCGATCACATTAGGCGCTGCCTGACAGTGTCCATGCGTAAGTACCTCTTTATGTCCTCAAACTTTGTGGATGAGTTGTGTGGGCTCAGCAGTTTAGGAGGTTGGGCCAGGCTGTTTGTGTGTCTGTGCCCTGTGCCCCTGCTGTCTTCCCATCCTGAGAGCGTGTTCCCAGGTAGCAGGATCAGCTTCCTGCTGGGGCAGTGGGCTCTGTCTTTAATTAAGGACAGGTACTGTGCCAGGTGGGTAGACCTGGCTGGCTACACAGCTGCCCCCTCTCCATGGGAAAGGAGCATTGCTGGGCCTCACAGCCTCTTTCCTTGTCTGTCTTGGTCATGTGTAGACAGCCAGTGCCACAGCTCACTGCCCATTCCATTTTGGGACACCTGGGAGGGTCTCCCTGAGCAGTGGCAGGTGGGGATGCACCTGGACCCTCAGTGCCATGGTCACCACACCCAGGCAGCAAGGCTCAGGGTGGGGCAGAGAAAATCACTGTGCCAGCCCCTCTTCATTGTAGGAACTGCTGTTGGCTCGTGAGCACCTGCGGATCTGTGGCTAAGGCCAAGACCCAGAGTCTGGCTTTGCTGGTCTGTGTGCCCACCGTGGGCCCTGCTCAGGGTCTTTGAAGGGTTTGGTGTTGCCATTTTGGGATGACAGCTCATGAGTCAGGCTGGGACTGCTTTCTCCCAGGCTCTCTGTCCCTGACTGGCTCTGGGGTCTAGCAGACCAAAGGCTGGGACTGCTTTCTCTCAGGCTCTCTGTCCCTGACTGGCTCTGGGGTCTAGCAGACCAAGAGGAGGAACTCAGTGAGGTTGCAAGGTGGCTGTGAGGTGGGCCTCTGACTCAGGAAGGTCAAGGTGGCTTAATTTAGAGATGGACTCCCAGGACCTTAGCCTGTCCTCTCGTGAGCATCCTTCCTGTCCACCCCATCACCTCCACCTCTGGTCCTTCCAGCTGCCAGCAGTTCCTAGGGCCCCAGCAGTTGCGAAGCCGCCAGCCTATAAGGGAGCAGTTGCAGCATCCACATGAGACGCTCTGTGTGGGCTCTTTGTTAGGACGGAGGGCAAGGCTCTGAGATTTCCCTGCAGGCTGGGACTTCCCAGCGTCCTCAGCTTCAGGTGGATCTGGCTCTGGACTCTCCCTCAGACCCTCAGCCTCCCACCCACCACTTCCCCTTCTCTGCTCCTCCCACACGTGGAAGTGGTGAGGGTTGTATTTAACAGTTTCGTCTCTGCATTGGTGAATTCTGACATGCACTGGGGCAAAGAACGTCTGGGCGTCCTCTGTGGAGGTTTGTCCGTGCCGGAGTGCCGGGACGTTTTCTGCTTCAGGAGCGTCGCGAGGCCCTGCAGAGCCTTGAGTGGGAAATCTGCAGGGCAAACTCTCTGAGCATCCGAGGCAGCGCTGTGCTCACAGCCAACAGCAGGGAGAATCTGTGGCAGGGAGACACACAGACCTGCAGGACACAGCAGAGCGCAGTTCAGGGGCAGATGACGGACAGACACAGACTCGGCCTTGGAGGACGGACTGCCCTTGCTCTTCCGCAGCAGAAGGGGCGATGACCTCAGACCTTGCACAGAAGCACTCAGAATGCGTTGTGGGTGACATGCAGAAGTCATACTAAGCAGCTTTCTGACAGCCAGACGGAAGAGAAACGCGTATCCTTCTGGTGCTCAGCAAGCCGCGTGGAGCTGACCCTGAAGTGTGGTCCTCAAAAGGCACAAGTGGTGAAGCTGGACCTCAGCCAATTGGAAGTCTGTGTTTTCTTTTAATTTTTTGCCGTGAATGACCCTGTTACAAGGACACAGAGACAGGCCGCAGAGTCGGAGAGAGTAGCTGCACACCACGTATCCAGGAATGAATGAACGTCCTGTACCCACACAGCAGTCAGAATGCAGCATCAACGCAGCCAGTCTGACTAGGAGGCAGGGCAAGGACAGGAAGAGACGTGTCATTGACGTGAGGACACGGATGGCCGTGGGCACGGGAACAGATTTTCAGCATCGTTGGCTGTTAGGAGGGTGCACGTTAAGGCACATGGCTGCCTCTCGTCGGAGGGACCAAGATGAAATTCATGCCAGTGTGATACGAATGCTGGGGAGGGTGCCCGGAAACCAGACCGTGCGTCCCTGCTGGGGGAGTGGAACGTGATGGCGTCACTGCACGTGGCAGTGCGGCCTCTTCCCTTTCTACAGAAGCGTCCGCCACACGGCCCCAAGCCTGGCTGCATGGGTGTTTTCTCCAGAGGACTGAAAGCCCCAGGCTACACGGAAACAAGCCCATGCGTGTTCACTCAGCGTCATCTGGAGACAAGGACCTGCTGCACTTAGCAAGGAACGAAGGATGGACTTCACCCCAGCCTGACCGATGGCCAGGGCTGCTGCTGAGTGGAAAGGCTCCAAAGGTAGCATCGCTTACGTTCTTCTAGTAACTCGATGCATATATAGTCGTGGACAGCAGCTTCGTTTTGTGGGCGATCCGGGACAAGGCAGTTGGGGGGGAAGAGATTAGTGTGTGCATGCAGGAACACATGAATCCAGTGGTCAGACTGTTGAGATGTCTGACTGTCGCCAGATCAGCCCTGTAATTGTTGCAGCTCCCGGACTTCTGCAAGGTATTACCAGAGTTTTACCTACAAAAAATCTAACCAGATGTGTGCAGGATTCCAGTCCTGAAACTGCAAAGCACCTGTTGAAGTAAAAGTAGTAAATGCATGGCAGCTTACCCCGTGGTTGTGAATCATGGCAGCTGTGTACCTGTGCCTTTCTTGCCTCTCTCTCTGGGATGCAGCGTGGAGCTGTGCAGGCTCACGGCTGCCGCATTTATCTTTGGGTGTCAGGTGAGACTTTGGACTTGGACTTTGAGCAATGCTGTGACATGAAGTGATTGCGACTTTGAGGATAGGATGAATGCATTTTGCACTGTAGGATGGACATGAAGTTTTGACGGCCAGGGACAGAATACTGTGATGTAAGTATTACTTTGGGTGTTGGATGTTCCCTGAACACACACCACATCTTGGTCCCTAAAGTCTGATGTTAACATATAACAGGTGGAACCTTAGTCCAAACATGATGCTTAGAGTCAGGCCCTTTGGAGGTGTCTGATTTGATTGTTGGCTAGGTTGGAGCCCCGTGTCAGCTTCCTGGGGCTTTGTAAGACACCACATGGAGGTACACAGTTGCATGCCCTGTGCTCCTGCCTCATGATGTGCTGCAGCACCTCAGGATGCCGCCTCCTCCTGGAAGAGTCTCGCCAACTGCAGAAATCAGCATTAGGGGCAGGCGTTGTCTCGGCAGGTTAGGCTGCAGCCTGTGATGCCAGCATCCCTTATCATCCTGGGTTTGTTTCCTGGCTGCTCCACTTCTGATTCAGCTCCCTTCAGAAGCCTGGGTAAAGTAGTGGAGGATAGACCATGTGTTTGGGCCCTTCCATCCACATCGGTGACCTGATGTAGCTCCTGCTGCTGGCTTCGACGTGACCCAGAGCTGTCCTTTGTGGCCATCTGAGGAGTGAACCAGCAGAAGGGAGATCTCTCTTTCTCTCCCTCTCTGTAACTCTTTCAACTAAATTTTTTTTTAATTTTTAAAGTATTAGGTCCTGTTAATTTGGGCACTCCTGTTAAACATCCGCAGGGTCTCTGAGCGTTGAGTACAGCATGATTTCTGGCCTCCATTTACCTTCTAGAGTTCTGCAATCATCGTGACAGAAATGGACAGCACATTTCATTTGTGTAGCTGTGGGGGAGATGACCATACCCCATTGCAGGAGGGCCTGAGGCAGACGTAGAGGCAGTGTGGAGAGAGAAGCATCTCCAGAAGGTGGGGTTCTTGGAGTCTTCAGGACCTAGGAACGGGGACGTTCCCCCGTGGTCAGGATTCCAGGCAATCTTGTATGATTTGGCAGTGAAGAATGCATGCATGAGCTACTTGCGGTTGAATGGGAGGTGGGGTGGGAGTGTGTGCTGCGACCATTAAAGCAGTAAATGCAGATGTCAGTGATTTTCATTGTTATTTTTTGTAGGACTGAACTCTCGTGAAATGCTTATTTACAAGAACTGTACATTCAACTGCTCATTTGTGTATTCTGTTCATCAGCCGGCTCCACTACCAAGAATTAAATTTATCACGAATGCTTATTATTTTGTTCGCTGCTGCGGTACTATATTCTGCAATGAAGGAGGCCCCACGAACCTGGAGCGGGACATAATGCCCGATACTGCCATTGAGGAGCCGCTCCCAGAGAGTGCAGTCCGACTGGGGGCCTCGCAGCTCTTCCTGAGCGTGGTCTCCATCGTAGTCAGCAATCTACTGACCCGAGAACCTCTCCTGGGATGGTCGACCCTTCTTGCCTGTCCCTCATAGCGATTTTACTCTCCGTTTCCCTCTTATGAGCCAGAGACTGATCTGCTGGGCCCAGATGGCTCATGTCTGCTTTATTTCAAGAGAGAAATTAAAAGTAATTATTTACACAAATGGTCATGAACGTAGTTTGCTTGCACATGCTCAGGATCTGGCCCCAGCCCATGTCTGCTCTTGTCTCCTGTACTGTGCCACCTACCGAGGAACTGCCTTGGAGTTTGAGTGTTTAAAGTGCTTTTTCTCCTTCACACACGGTGGCCTAAAGATTCGCTGTGTGAAAACCTCTTGCTTTTCCGCTTACAGAGATTGTTGTAGTCCACAGGGAAAATGTCCAGGGGCAAGTCTGCCTGTTGGCTGGAAGAGCAGCCTCAGCCATGTGCAGACTGTAGGCTCGAGCCCGCCTGCAGTGCTGGCCATGGGTTCCAGTTGTTGGGTCAGGGAGAGACCCTGGTCCCCAGGGCCAGATGGAAGGGGCCGCAGCATGTTGCACCCTTGTAGGGGCCAGATGGCTGTGCCGGCACAGAGTTGTCTCCACATGGCCCCTGAGTTCACATGGGCCATAGACTTTCCCCAGACGTTAGCCTGTGAGACTGGTGAGGGTCTGTTTTGGAGGTCCACACTGTTCTGCAGATAGACAGTGGTGAGGATGCACAACACCATGAATGTACTGAAGTACACT